CTCTTGTTCTCTCGCGAGCTTCCCGCCATTTGCGCCGCACGAGGCTGGTCGAAGGGAAGCCTTTGAAGAGGAGGGCGTGCGGCTTTGTAGCCGAGATTTCAAAACGAACGGATTATGAGGTAAACATGCAAAAGTAGTACTGGCTCAAGATTTAGAATCCATTCGATCCCTTTTGAAGTTCGCCCTTCGTGGCCTAACAGTCCCATGTGTGGGCTGCTGTTTTCCGTTTTAGTAAACTAGGCGGCGGGCCCTCCTATGCGCCAGAAGAAGAGGACTCCCACTCTCCGACCGCCCGGTCCGGCTAGTCCGCCCCGGTCGGCCGGCCTGGCATGTCCAAAGTCCCACCACATCAAAAGTTGGAAGCCGCCGCCGCCGCCTCGGCTTTTGGACGCTCTATGTCCCTCCGATAACCTTTCATCCGAGAGCCATTCGAAACATAAGTGGGCGCAGGGCAGAGAGCCTATTATGATGGGGAAGTTATAGTTCGGTGTCAAAATAACAAACCCGATAAGCGCACAGAAGATAGGGCGAGGCTTGTACGCGCGGAACCGACTTAATTTAACAGCTGTCCGCACGATAAGGAACAAGCTGCTGGTGCTTTTGCTTGTGGCTGTACTGTCAAACAAACTTCTGTACTTCCCGTCTTGCTACCTATAGGGGGTACACAGGATGCCTGCTCTCTCTATCACAGTTGTGCCACGCCTAAGGGCGCCTCCTCGCGTACTCACCCATGAAGCCCATGAGCTCCTCCAAGTCGTTGTCCACCTTCTTCATGTTGGCGGGGCGGTGCTGCACTCGGGAGGACGATCACGACACAATCACCGGCTCTCACGGGGCGCACACACACTTTGCACTGTTGTACTGCCGTCAGTCAGCTGTCGATCCACGAGGACATAACGACTTCGAGTCACTTGGCGCACCCGCACGCTCTCACGCGGCACCCGCACTGCGAAACCACAGCGTTAGGCGACGGCAGATCCGGCGCGGATCAAGTCGGAGCCCGACATGTGTTGGGCATGACTCTGGCGCTGCTGAGGGGCGGGGGCAGGCAAGGGGCTGGCGGGGGCGAGGTCCAGGGACGCACCCGCGGTGGGCGACTCGCGGGCGACTCGCGGGCGACACGGGTACCCGGCTCCGTACGGCGGCTCTACACTGCGGTGCTGTGCGCGGCCGGCTGCCACGGGCTCACGTGCGCGAGTGAGTGTGGTGGTGTGCGGCTCGGTGTGTGCGACGACG